AGAGATGTCGGCTAGTCTCGCCGATGTAACAGGCATTACATCCTGCACACGAAAACTTGTAGACAACACGCGAACTGAGATCGAGAGGAACAGGATCCTTAACACTAAAGATACTACCAACTTTAAAAGAAGAAACAGCTAACTTAATTTCGATGTTGGTACAATAGCGCTGAACGAGTTTGCGTAGCCTTTTCTGTGTTTCTCTATTCAAGGAGCCTACATAGGGTAACTTAAAATAATAAGTGGAAATGGCTTGCCGAATGGTATTGCAGTTTATGTCATAGCCAGAAGTATAGACTCGAGGATCAAAATGCTTACTGCTTTTTTTCGCAAAATCGGTCTAGATGTATATAAAAGTAACCCTTAGCCTAAGTAAGTAGCAATGCCCAATGTAAGATGGTTGGCTCTCGACGAACAACTAAATACAAGCATAGTGGTGACAGTAACAACAAATAATACATGTAATTACCTCAGTTTTGTCACCTTTACATCTTGGACACCAGAGCCGTTGAACTCCTCTTTTACCTAAAATAATTTAACAGTATCAACACCGCATGTAACACACTGAGAAAAGCACTTTGTCTAGTGCTCGGCCCCACTAACACAAGTGCTAGTGGGACCGAGCAAGCAACTGAAACAAATAATTCAAATTGAACATAAGATTGTTATGAATCCCATCTGACAGGAGGCAAACCAGTTGGCTATTTACAAGCGAGGCCAAGGATTTGAACTCGGGGCTACTGAGAAACAACTTCAGGTAGTGGCCAGAGCGGGACTCGAACCTGGGACCGCTGGATTGTGAGTCTGACACGCTGACCACTCAGCCACACTGCCTCCTTAAGAGACACCACATTGCATTTCTTTTTTTGTTTTTTTCACAAGTATTCTGAATTGATCCGACTCCACTCAGCTGAGTGGGGAGCAGTTTTGGGAAAATTCCCAAATATCGTTCGTATACATACGTTACAAATCACAAATACAATATGTTGAGTCAGAGTCAAAAAATAGCACTTACAGCATTCTTTATGTCATTGACAAAAAGTTGCGTTGTTGGATTCTCCAAGTTTTCATACTCCGGTTTAAACTCTTCTTTGAATTCAATTCCAACCTCAAAAGTATTCTTTACCGTGTCTGTTAACAGGAACACAACCAAAGCAGCGTAAATATGAAACGTAAGTATTATAAACATCCTTACCAAAGTGAGTCCTCAAGAAACTTAATTCAGAAAATGCTGGTAGATGCTCTATGTGTATGTACATGTACCTGAACACTACCTGTGATAAAGATGTTCGCATACACATAGAATATAATGTTGACTACAACTGTGATTCTCTTAAAAAACAACAACAACAACAGGTTCTCATCTTCGTTGGAACAGGCTGTTAACTTCGAGTCTCAAAATCTTTGCAATCGTTCCAATGCTAGAAAATGTTTTGAAATACATTTGCCAAACTGTGGGCGACCCTCTTAGGTTTCTACGTGTCTTTCAAATTACTTTGATTAACTTTAAAAAAATGTGCTGTAAATAAAGATTAAACAAAAGCACATAGCGCAGCCCTAGACACAACTATGCAGTGTGTAATAATAAAGTTGATATGACTATAGTAACCACCAATGAGACTGTCATCAGCTCTTATTAAAAACTTTTACTCTTTTGGTGTTATGCACAATTATATACATGTACATGCATCTTTTTAGATTTCCTTCCATCAATAACATGTACATTTAGCTCTCTTCAAAATCACGGTAAGAAACTGAAATGGCTAATCAAGGTAATGCAAGGCATAACACAACGTGGGACAACACATTTAATTGTCCCATGAACTTGACATCTGTAAACCAGGATAAGTATATTTTTAATTTGCTGTTTTAACTTTGCCAGACACACATGTAGAAACGAGCACTGTGTACTTGTGCATCAATCATTTACTGAAGTTTGAAGAAGTGACGACTAGAGTGTCCAGTAATAACTCCATAGAAACTACAGAATAAAAATAACGTACCCTCAATGTCGCAATTTGTTCCTGTCTTTCTCTTTTCGCAAAGACAGACGTATTGTCCAAACTTACGACAGGATTTCTTAACAGAACATCTTTCCTCACACAATCCACCTATTAAAATAAGGCAAATTTAAAACCATTAAAGAAACATACATATTTATAACATTCCAACACATTGAAATTAAGAAAATACACATTTCAAAAACGGTTCCCTGTTTCGCATGTTTAGATTCATCTCAAAATTCAACTAAATAGAAAATTAGCGTTTATAGCGTCTCGTTGACTCTTC